GGGCGCCGGAAGAAAATGCGCTAGGGAGGGGCCCTTACATTTTTGGAATAGAAAATGTTACCTAACTATTTTTAAATTAGTCACTCAATAGGATACGCAGCTAAATCATATATCCAACAAAAACCATTGGTGTAATAGTGTAATAGGTACATATTAGACACAGAGACAAAACAAAACAAGAACAAAAGTAACAAGTTACAGTAGTTCACTGAAAAAAAAAATGAAATTAATAGCACTATATTATAAAATTTGCTGTGGTTAGCACAGATACCACCCGCACACCGGCGCATGCGCATTCTACGTTCTTTTAGGTTTAACAATATATTGTGTACCAAATTTGGTTCCAATTGCTTAAGCCGTTAATAAGAGTTTAGCACACTTGCGCAATTCTCCCCGAAAGCTTTTCAGCTCTTCCTTTTATATCTAAGAATATGTGTACCAAAAGCGCCGAACCGAAATATGTAAGTGACATGACAATATTGTCATTGATGTTTTTCCAAAACAAAACGCCACCCTGCGGTCGTCGGTTAATTTAATCTCTATAGTCTATACAATCATTAGTTTAAAATACAATATAGCAACTTTATGGACATTGAGGTAACTCAATAAGGTTATAAAAGGTTTACCTACTTTTGCTTTGTCACCGAACAGCGATGGGACAGAAAAATGTGGCTGTGTTCTGGTTTTATTGTGAGCTTTCAACATTTTCTAAAAGGGATTAAGTGATTTCTCAAATCCCAGGGAGGGGCCCGGGCCCCCCTTGCCCTTTAGTAGCGGCGCCCATGCTCAAAAATCTTGTATCAGGAGAATATGATGTGCGAGGAGATGAAGGTTAGGAAAAATTTTTAGTGACGTTAGGTTAGGGTGATAGGTTAGGTCAAATTAGTTTGCCAAAATTTTAGACGCCTAAACTAATTTGACCTAACCTAACTATCACCCTAACCAAACCTCACTAATTTTTTATCCTAATCTTCAATCTCCTCGCACATCATATTCTCCTGATACAAGATTTCTGAGCTATCCTAACTATCACTCTAACCTATAACCTCACTAAAACTTTAACCTAACTCTCAATCACCTTCTCGGACATTATATTCTCCTGATACAAGTTTTGTAAAGGTTTAAGACTAAGTAAGGCGTTGAAATATTTCTGTGGGAGAAGGTTTACATCGTGAGCACAGTGTCGTTTAAAAATGTGATGGACGCGCACGGTACGGCCACGGTGAACCATTTGAGGAGCCTTTCATTGACTTTGAAATAATTACTTCGACGCGTGTAGTGTGCAAGGGTGCGTGTCCACCAAATCCATTCTCAGCGTCCATGTAGCCCTTTCCCACATGTCCTGGAGTGTCTGTATGCCCGAGGTCCGCAAAGGTGTCGTCCCGTCGCCTTTTGAATCTGTATGTCGGTCGTGGCTAAAATTCAAAAGTGATTACGAAAAAAGGGACGTACTTGGCGACATCTCAACTAAACTGTAAAATCTATAACTTGAAAAAAGTGTATTGATTACCAAGGAGATGGCCCGCCACTTTTACATATTATATTTAAACTAATTAATCAAAAACCGGACCATTGAACTACAATTGCTCTACAGATTTTGCAAGACTTCGTCAATCTTGAAGTGCCATTTAAGGAAAACTAAGTCCAAGGCGGCTATTAATCGCATAAATTCAAAAGCAATTTCAAATGAAGTTACGTACGTGGCGACATCTCAACTAAACTTAAAATACTATAACGTGAAAAAAGTGTATCGTTTACCAACGAGATGGCGCACTTGTACATATCATCATTGAATTTATCAATAATATTATATTTAAACTAATTAATCAAAAACGGGGGCATTGTACTACAATTGCTCTACCAATTTTGCAAGACTCCGTCCATCTCCATAATTTCAAACAGTTCCAAGATTGGGCTACTAGATCAAAAGTTACAGCCCTTTGAATTTTTTGTCGAAATTGGTTTCTAGTCTATAACTTTTGATTGAGAAGTCTAATCGAAAAAGTACGAATCGTTTTGGATTCTACGCACCAAAATTAATAAGAAAAATTGTTTTCCCGAGAAATTTTGGTGCAGTAGATTTTTGGTGAAAAAGGAAGGTTATACACTGCCTTTTTTTGCCCCGAAAAAAAAATTCTCAGATCGACCCGGAAAAAATTTTCTTATAGAACGTGGCCTGTAGAATCCATAATTTCAAACAGTTCCCAGATTGGGCTACTAGTTCAAAAGCTACAGCCCTTTGAATTTTCTTTCAAAATTGGTTTCTAGTCTATAACTTTTGATTGAGAAGTCTAATCGAAAAAGTACGAATCGTTTTGGATTCTACGCACCAAAATTAATAAGAAAGTGTTTTCCCGAGAAATTTTGGTGCAGTCGATTTTTGGTAGATGGCGCTCTTTTCCGTTTCACGATACACAAATAGTATATAGCGAGTTTCCTGTATTAATATATATTAAGGTATTTGCTCTACTTATCTCTCTCGTCACGGCACTCTTGCAACAGTCGTTTACGGGCGATTCCAGTTATGAGTACAAGTTCAATGCAGAGAATGTCTGACCATATTCCCTCTTCAATATCTATGTGCCTGACGCGCATTCACTTACAAACTCTTTGTTCTTATGCAGTTTGAATTGGTAAGACTCGCGGTGAAACATTTCCAGTGGCGTAGCTTGCGGTATTCTCCTTTTAATTACATAAAAGCGGGAACGTTTGCTTTACCTTACCTTCAAACTATCTTAAGTGCAAAATTTGGGCAAGTTCTCATTAGCCATGGTAAAAATAGGTAAAAAAAATACACAAACTTCTGACATAGTAGAAAATTAACCTTCATCTGAGGTTTACAAGAAAAATTATACAAAAATTAATGGAACATCAACTTTGTAAAAGGCGGGCTTCAGATGCCCCGCTCCATCCGTTAAACCTATCTAACTTAAACCTAATTTGTGGTAAAATCTTAAAAACATTTTTCAACCCTCATCTTCCTCTACTTTGTCTTTCTTCTTCTTCTTCTTTTTCTCTTTTTTGGGTTGCTCGACCTCCTGCTCTGCAGTTTCCGCGGGCGCGGCAACCTCTTCTTCGGGCTCCGTCTTCACCTTCTTCTTTTTCTTCTTCTTCTCTTTGTGTGTACTCGTCTCCATTGTCGTGTCAATGTCCGCGTTCGCAGACGAGTCTAGAGTAGCACTTATCTTCCGCTTCTTGCTGGTTTCCTCGGTGACCTCTTCCTTTTTGATTACTGGTACCGTTGCGGCAGCGGCTTGCGCACTATAACAGTTATGGGTAAATGGATCGTCCCCTTCGGTGGAAATACTTACGAGTAGTCCACGTAGCTGGTCAACCATTCGGTGGGCGTATTTTCGTTAGGTTTGCCGTACTTATCCAGCAAACCTTCGGCGATAAGAGACTTCTTTTTGCTGGCTCGAGGACCCAACCCCCATTTACGCGGGTAGGTGTCTCTTTCCATGATCACGCGCTTAATTTTCGCCACGATGCCGTGATCGCAACTGGCAATTGTGGACGTGGTCATGAGCGCGACCGCCAGCGCGATGGCCTCCCCTTTCGTCGTGACAATCACAATCTCCTGATGCAACTCGATGCCGTCCTCGTACCTCAGAATGCCGGGCAGTAGGATTTTAGCACCGTAACAGACCGCATTGACCGAGCTGTCTTTCATAATAATCCGCTTGTGCCCCACCAACAGACTTTCCAAGGGCCTAATCACTCGACGCAAATACGTCTCGTCCTTGTGATTGTCGTACAGCCACTGGGCGTCGAGAATGTCGTGCATGGTGACCATACTGTCGTACTCGCTTTGTATACCCGAACGTACGCGTCGCAACTCCAACATCTGCCCGCCAACGCCGACCACCAGTCCCAAATGAACGCACATCGTCCGTATGTAGGACCCGGCCTCGCAACTCACCCAAAACACGCCCATATTTCGACTTTCGTCATAGTCCAGCAGTTTACTGTCGTAAACCGTCCTAACTCTAAGCTGTCGCTTAACTGCCGAGATCAGGGGAGGCCTCTGAAACAGCGCCCCCCTCAACTTCTCGAGTCCTTGAATGACGCGCGGAATTCCGCCTTCGCATTCCGAATGCAACTTGAAGACGGCAACGTACTCCTTGCCGGCTCCCTGCTGAGATTTGACCAGGCGAGTCGCGCGATCGATGCACACGATCAGGCAACCTTTAACAGAACACCGGCGTAAGCAACATCTCGAGAACAGAATTCTCTCCGTCACCGTTTAATGTACCTAGAGGTCGTCGGGTGACCGAAACGATTCGGCTACAAATCGCGACCTTTAGGACTATACTCTAACCTGTCACTTTGGGGTCGAGCGTGCCCGAGTGGCCCGTCTTTTCCACCTTGAGTATACGCTTGATCCACGCGACCACCTCGTGACTGCTCGGATTGCTCGGCTTGTCGAGGTTGATGCAGCCGGCGTGGAGGTACTCGGCGATATCGCGTTTGAGTGGCGACGCGCCGAACGGTAGCGGCGTGTAGTGGTTCGTGCGAACGTTCAGCCGATCGAAGTGCTGCGGGAAACGGAAAAGACGTGAGCGCGAAACGTTAAAAAGATGTAAGTTACCTTCAGCAGCAGCGGCCATTTCGAGGTGTCCAATTGGGCGATTTTCGTCGAGGATTCCAAGTGGAAGTCGTTCGATTTCTGAATTTCTCCTATCGACTTGGATTTCTTTTTCTTTTTCTCCTTCACGGTTGCTTCTGCAAAGAGGCAAGTGATCCTTTAGACGTGCTAAAGATTTAAGGTTAGGAGAGATCGAGCCGCATTCAAAAACGGGTTACAGAACAAATTACGAAGCATTTCCATGCGGTAAAAAGGGCAGGTGGTTAAAAAAATAGGCGAAATTTAATTCTATTAACGATTTCTTACCGAACTCGGCCATTATTATCAAACACGCAAACACGTGTTGTTTAGCTTAATTTTAGGTTAGGATAGTCAACAACCGAAACAGGCAGCCGTGGCAACAGCGCGAATTCAAATTTTGTGCAATATACAGGGTGGGGTCAAATAATTAAGGGCAGGATAATTATAAAAAGTTAGGAAAAGCGTTAGAGCGCAATTACTTGAACCAATTCAATTAATACTTAAATTGGGGACGTAAGGTCAACGATCTACTTTGTTTTGTTAGCGCTTGATAAGTTATCTAAATTGAATGCGTATAAACAGAATGTCTCAAAACAATTGTGACGTAACTTACCCATGGTACCTTTTTTCGTAATCTGCTCACAAACGTATAAGAGAAGTATAAAACTTATCTCCTTCGAAGATTTCCGGTCATCCCAAGCAAGAAAACATAGAAAGCCAACAATTTTCGTCCATCTGTTGCTACCTGCTCACGTTTTCGTGCGAGAAGACGACCGAAAGGGATCACTCCAACCCTTATACGGTTCCATATGAACCCCATGTAGCTCATCAGTCTCCCACAGTCGTAAAATCACCGAACAGCTCCATAGTACACAATGTTACAGGTGTATCCAAGATACCAGTCTGCGGGCGACTGCATTCCCGTGTCAAAGCGGTCTTAAGGACTAATACATAGGACCGTAGCCAGGGAGTGACCAGGGCTGGGTACCGCTCCACCTAGAACGTGATCTTGCCCTCCTTTCTTTCCGCCCCGTTACGTGTAAATACCATACGAAAACACAAAAACGATTTTCGGAAATACCGCAATAAGACGGCGCGGCGTGATCAAAAATTCCGTTTGTCTGTTAGCCAATCAGAAGGCAGTAAATTTTTAATCGTACGGAAAAGTTGAACATTTACGTTTCCATTGGTCCGTTTTTAACAAGAGTGAGGTTATGTTAGTTCTCCGACCCTCTCTCGGAAAACTTATTATTTTAAAGATTTTCTCGACAGGCTGAAAAGAGGACAAGGATATATGTCGCGAAATAAACAGAAAAATCACATATATTTTCCTCTTAACAATAAATAAATAAAATTTGACCTTTGGGCTACCTGATCACATACTATACTTACAACACAATTTCAAAATTATCAACAATCTCTCCACGAGTAGTAGTATTCGTAATTGAAAAAAAAAAAGAGTGCGAAATTATCTACCCATCCCCCGTATCTTATGTAATTTCTCGCAAGAGGGCGTTTTAATACTCTGAGCGCTTTTAAACATGTCCGGATCGCCGAAATTTCGCGCCTTCCAAATCATTGTATCACCTGCAAGAGAAGGCGTCAGAGGGTGTTTCAAATCCCGAGCAACTTACGGTAATTTTTCTCGCGATAGCAGGCGTGCCGTAGGTTTGTGATGAAGTCCTCCTCGATGGACAGCTCGAGCCGCTGCACCGAACCCTGGTACTCGCTGTGGAAGTTCTCGCGCACAAAGTACTGCACGCCGAGGTTCTCAGTTCGCCTCGCCACAGTGTATTTGCTAGAAGCAGATCGAGGTGCAAACGCTCTCTAAGAGATCGCCGACACTTACTTGGTAGCTTGCAGACTGTAGGCGGGGTCGGAGATGAACAGGCTCGACGCCATCGAGAGCACGATCGCGAGCAAGATCGGTAGTAGCTGGAAAAAGGCGGCGAATCCGCTCTGCTGCTGCTGCTCCCTCTGGTGGCTGTGATGCGAGTCGCTCGAGCCCATGTTCTGTCGGTAAACGCGCGCGTTTCGGCGCACGAACACGTTCGAGTTGCCGAATCCGCTACCGAAGAACATGTTGAATAGCTCCTCGGCGTTTACGTCGGATTCGAATCCTCTGGTGTAGGTGTAGCCGTGGTGGTGGTGACTGCGCGACACGCGCTCCTCTTCCGAACCGAACATATCGTACTGTTTACGTTTTTCCGGGTCCGTCAAGACGGCGACGGCGTTACCTGAAGGTTAAGATTGTGTTACTGTCGAAACACATCCAATGCCCCCCAACCCCCCTTTACTCCTATTGGCATGTTGCTCCCCCCCCTCATATTTGAAGGGGAAGGGGCTCTAAAGAAATCATTTACTGTACAGGGTGGTTCAAATTCGTGGCTCACCATTGGGAACCATGATCGTTTAAAGAGCAATCAATTTTTCGCGCTTTCACGATCGTCTAAAAAGCAGTCCAATTGGGAAATATTCCATCCCCCCGGTATTAACCCCTCGCTTCCACACGTCTTTAACCCTCCGCCCTTTCATGATCGCCTCAAAAGCAATCAATTGTTATTTGCCAGGGTGGCAGATACCCCAGTATCAATTTTTATACCCCCACCTCCTCCACAGTATTACCACGTCAATTAAAAACGTCTTTAGCCCTCCATGCTTTCATGATCGTCTAAAAAGCAATCAGTTGTTATTTGCCTGGGTGGCAGACACCCCAGTATCAATTTTTATACCCCCACCCCCCTCCCCAGTATTACCACGTCAATTCAAAACGTCTTTAGCCCTCCGTGCTTTCATGATCGTCTAAAAAGCAATCAATTTTTATTTACCTGGGGGGAGGTGTATGCATAGGGAATTTGAATCACACTGTACAAATGAAGGGGACAATCAGAAGAGAATTCCAATTTTGTTGTCTTTCAAAATTGGGCATACTCGTACCGCGGAGGGGGGGGTCTATACCCCTTGTTTAGTATCTCACATCGCGACTGAAAAGAATCCTTAAGCCGCCTTACAATTTTAAGCCCATGAAAAATAATTGCCGGTTGAAAGAGACCTGGGATACCACCCCCCTCCCCTCCAAAATATTATGGCCCCTGCTAAGTACGTATCCAACTATATGCCGTGTCCACACGCTCAGCAAACCCGTGTCAGGTGAGAATTTGACACAAGGGTCCACACACTTGGAGTTTGCGGCAGGTGCTAAGGGTGTGGAAGCGGCATTAGAGAGAATCACAAACCGATCGCTTTGAAGGCCTCTGCGGCTCCGGGACACTTATTCTTGTCGGGATGAAATTGGAGCGCCAACTTCTTGTACGCCTTCTTAATTTCCGAATCCGTCGCGTCTTTAGTGACCCCGAGAATTTCGTAGTAATCTTTGCAGGATTTTATGCGTTTTACGTCCTCGAGCTGCTCGGTGGTGTACTGCGGCGTCGTGTGGTCCTCACGTTTGGGAGACTGTTTACGTCGTCGCGGCTGCTGGTCGGGCTCGGGCGCGGGAGCCATTAATTTGATTTGCACGAGTAAATCTGGAAGAAAGGATTTAGTCGGGGGGACTGTCGCTTGCACGGTGGTGGTAAACCTTTAGCTCGCTGAGTCGGGTAGAGACGTTCCGCTTTGTGTAGAAATTTCTCCGCTTTTTCTTTGTTTTTTATTTTGATTTGTTCCTCGGCCAGTTCGATACATCGTTCCGCCTCGTCTTTATTCACTTCCATTACGAATTTTGCCCGCAGTGCGTTGAAGATGAAAAAATTGAGTTTTGGATGCGAATGATGCGAAATTAAAGAGATTGACAGGTCAGTTTGACAGAACACAGCTGATGCTCATGAGTGGTGTGACGTGTGATACGCATGCGCAGTACGCAAGGCCGCAGAAATAGGCTACATTCATGCATAACATTGACGCAAGCAATTGCTATATAGGGTGCCAAAGAACAAATTTCCCTGCAACCGCAATAAGACCTTCGTATACTACGAGGGTATTCCGTACTCTCCGTACCCCCCGGTGATTCGGTCTCTTGTACAAGTATTACAGGTAACAACCATACCTACAATATTTTGGGAGAAAACGTACCGCCGGAGGGTCTGGGGGATATGAAATAGCCCCCCAGGAAACGTGAACAGATTTCCATACTAACTGCAATATGACCTTCGCATACTGGGGGGGGGGGTATTCCATATCCCTCGGTAGCACGTTCTCTTACAATATTACACGTAACAAAATACCCTCAATGTATTCAGAGAAAACGTACTATCGGGTGGTCTGGGCGATATGGAATACCTCCCAGGAAAAAAGAACAGATTTCCATACAAACTGCAATAAGACCTTCGTACACTAGGGGGTATTCCATGCCTCCCAGACCCCCCGGTGGTACGTCCTCTTGTAATAGTATTACAGGTAACGGCAATACCCCCAATTGTTTGAGAGTAAACTACCATCGGCCTGGAGTCCGGGGGATATGGAATACCTCCCAAGGGAAAAAAGAGCAGATGACTCTACAACTGCAATAAGACCTTCGTACACTAGGGGATATTCCATGCCCCCCAGACTCCTCCGGTGGTACGTCCTCTTTGAAAGAAAACGTACCACCGGCCTCTAGGGTCTGGGGGGTATGCAATATCCTCCACAAAAAAAGTCACTAAATATAGAAAGTACCGCAATCATCCGCCATTTTTGGGCAAATTTGCTGCCAACTTAAAAAAATTGACAAATAAAATCTGAATAGCTGTCATTTTTTATAACCTAACTTCATAGTACTGTCATGTTTTATAAAAATATATACAGATATCTCCAAACAGGTGGAACAATCCCTAACATTAAAGTTACTAGAATCTGGTAACTTCCGCCATTTTTGGGCAATAATCATGCGTTCTCTCTCTAACACACGAGCCCAATAGATTGCGGTACTTTCTATATTTAGTGACTTTAAAAAAAAAGAACATTCAGCGCCCTCTATCTATAAGCGTGTGTACAGCATCTTCGGATTCTTATGGTTTCTTGAAATTTGTTTCTTCGCATTCCTTTCACACTTTCTCCCTGACCGTTTCGTATCTACCTCTTTGGCACAACCTTTTGGCTTCGAGCTCTCTCTTCTTTGCGCTCACAATATTCTGGTTACTTCAATCTCTTTCCTTTTAACTTTTTCACGACTTCTTCAGGCTTGTATCGACGACTCTGGGCGCATTCACTTTCCACTCACTCTCTTTCACTCGTACCCTCTTCGCGCCTACTCTCTTCCGTTTTTTCCCTCGTGTTTTACGGCTCTTTTTTCCGTTTTGTATCTATCTCTGTTTTCTTTGCGCCTGCAACTTCACATTTTTTCCCTATGCGCTTTCTTCATCTTATTGACCCGTTGATTTTTAAATTTTCATCAAGTCTCCATCCTTCTTCGCTATTGCAATCTACAAGCCTATTTCCTTCACGCGTCTTCCTTAAGGCTCCATCTTCTCCATCCCTCCCTAATACTTCCCATCACAACTCATTTGCGCCTACTTGCTGAGAGTATTTTTCCTTTGCGTTTCTTTTGCGCCTCCTTTAAGACTGTTTCGTATTCACTTCTTTGGGGCACATTTTCGTCATACTCACTCCTCCCTTCCCCGCCCCACTCTACTCTTCAAATTTTTTCATTCGTGTTTCGTTCGCGCCTCTTCCTTTTGACACCCCTTTCCCCACAAACAACATTATCTTTTTGAGTTTCTATTTCGCCCTTTTATTACTCTTCTGCGTCTTCCTTCTTAGCGCCCGTTTCCGTTCCTACTTTCTGGCCTTCGCGTTTCTTTGACGCCGTTTTCATGATTGTTTCTTCTAGCTTCCACGTCCCCTTCCTTTAACTCTTTCCTACCTTGTCAAGTTTTTTCCCTTCGTGTTTCTTTCAACCGTTTCCCCACAACGGTTTCTTCTTCGGGTTTCCATATCACACGTTTTTCCCGCCTCCTTCGTGTTTCCTTTCTTAGCGACTAACCACCAAGCCTCTAGTACCACATTTTCTTCTTGTCGTACCTACTTTCTTCAACGCGTTTCTTTCACTCTCTTATCACAACTGTTTTGTACCCACCCTCTTTGAGGATTATCTTTTTTCTTCACGTTCTCCTTGAACCTCCGCCCCTACCTTTGGCACACCTATACAGTCTTCAGGTTTCTTTTCTCTACGCCTTTTTCAAGCCTTCTTCGCGACTGTATCGTATCTTGTCTACTTCCATGGCACATTCTATCTAACTTCCATCTCTCTTTCCTTTGCGCCTACAATCTTCAAGTTGTTTTCTTTGCGCTTGTCTCACGACCGTTTCGTATCTACCTCCTTGGCACATTCTTCTTCCTTCTCTTGGCACCTACAATCTTCAGTTTTCTTTCCTTTGCTCTTTTTCCACGCTTTCTTTGTTAGATTTTAATGTTTATTATCATAAAAGTAAACATAGAAAATATAGAAAAACTTCTGTACATCTTAAACGTGTTACATGATGACATGCTTACTTAAAACTTAACTATTGTCTTTCATCTCTTATTTTAATGTTGGCAACCATGTAAAATGGATAGGTACCATAGAATACATATAATAATTACTATTCTATATAACTTAACATTCTTCACAATTGTTCTATAGCTTCCTGCGTCTATAACTTCAGGTGCACTTCCTTTGCGCTTTTTCACTACCATTCCATATCTATCTCCTTTGCACATTCTTCTAGCTTCCATCTCTCTTTTCTTTGGATCTACAATCTTCAGGTTTCTTTCTTTTGCGCTGTTTTCGACTTCACGATTGTTTATCTACCTCCTAGCTTCCATCTTCATTTTCTTTGCTGCAGGTTCATTAGTTTTCGCTTTTTTTCATGCATTTTTCACGGTCGTTTCGTATCTATCTCCAGGTTTTTTTCCTTTGCGCTTTTTTCACGCCATTTTCACCATCGCTTAGTATCCACCTCTTTGGCGAATTCTTTCAGCTTCCCTCTTTTCTTCGCGTCTATACAATCTTCAGGTTTCTTTCCTTTACGTTTTTTCACGGCTTGTTCAGCACCATTTCGTATCCACCTCCTAGCCTCAATGTCTCTTTCCTTTACGCTTACAATCTTCAAGGTTTCTTTTTTTTACGCTTTTTTCACGCCTGTTTCACGACCGCTTCGTATTTATTGCCTGGGCACATCCTCCACAGCTTCCACCTCTCTCTTCTTTTTTGCCCATAAATCTTCACGTTTCTTTCTCTTTCTCTGTTTTTTAGCGCCCACAGTGTTCAGCTTTCTTTCCTTTCCGCTTTTTTCACCCTTTCTCACGACCGTTTCGTAGCTATCTAGCTGTCACCTTTTTTCTAACTTCCATCTCATTTTCTTTTGCGCCTACAGTCGTCAAGGTTTCTTTGTTTTATGCTTTTTTCACGTCTTTTTCATGACCGTTTTGCATCTACCTTCTTGGTACATACGTTTTAGCTTCCATCTCTCTTTTTTTCGAGTCTACAATTTTTAGGTTTTTTCCTTTGCGCTTGCTTTCTTCACGACAGTTTCGTATCTATTTCCTTGGCACATTCTTCTAGCTTCCACCTCTCTTTTTTTACGCGCACAATGTTTCTTTCCGTTGCGCTTTGTCGCGCCTTTTTCACGACCATTTCGTATCTTTCTAGATGGCACATTCTTCTAGCAGCCATCTATCTTTTTTTTTCACGCCCACAATCTTCTTCGCTTTCTTTTCGCGTTTTCTTCACAACTGTTTCGTACCTACCTTCCTGGTACATTGTTCTAGCTTCCACCTCTCTTTTCTTTGCGCCTTCAATCTTCAGGTTTCTTCCTTTGCGTTTTTTCGCGCTTTCTTCACGACCATTCCGTATCTACCTCCTTGGCACTTTCTTCTAGTTTTCATTCGTTCTCTTTGCGTCTACCAGTAACCCCTCGGTTTCTACAAAGTATAACTACACTCCTCCTCCCTTTTTTGCGTTTACTCTCTTCTTCGTGTTTCTTTCACGCCTCTTCCTTTTGCACACCTTACCTCCAACTCTATCTTCTTCTGGTTGCTATTACGCCTTTTTCACGCCTCTCTCATTACTATTTTCCGTTTCCTTTCTTAGGGACTATTTCCAACAAGCCTTTCTTCTTTCGTAATCCAGTTTCTTCAAGTTCCTTTCGCTCTCGCTTCTTTCACTCCCCTTCACAGCGATAGTTGCACCTACTACCCCATGGCGCATTCACTCTCTTCGAATTTCTGTACCTCCCTTCGTCGCACCTACAATCGCCATGTTTCTGTGCTTCGCGCTTCCTTGACGCCTTCTTCACGACTGCTTTCTTGGCGCGTTCTTGTTTTGCACTACATTCTGCAATTCTCTTTCCTTTCAACTTGTTTCATGTCTTCCTTCACTGTGGGTTTCTTCTTCACACCTGCTTTTAGCCTTCACCACTTCTTTTCACCGCGCAATTCTTTCCTTCAGACTTCCTTCTTCTTTCACATCTCTTCCCTTACGAATCTTCCTTCTTCAGTCTTTTTTTCGCGTATCGCGTTCGCTCAGCGTTGGGCGTTGTTTGAGTGGTTCATTGATCGAGGGCAGAACTGGGGTACTGCGTTTCGCTCGAAAAAGCGCTCCAAGCGGAAAAAGGGCTTGCGAGCGTACTTTTCAGAGCGGTCGCTTGGTGCTCGATACTCGAGCGTTTACTTAAAGTGCTCGGCGCTTTTTTCTGCTCGCGAGTGGTTTTTCCTCTCCTGAACGTTTTTTTTCGCTCGTGAGCGCTTCTAACCGCCCTCAAGCGCTCGAGCACTTTTGGAAATGCTCGGAACACACATCGCAAAACAGCTCGATCCTCTTGTAGAGGATGTTACACAGACGAAGAGGCGGCAAAGTACGTGCTTTGTGAATGTTCCGCTCTAGTCCGACTGAGACGATCCATGTTGGCCCGACATGGTAACGATCAGAGCCGCCTCCTCCTCTTCCAGCATCCTTAGGTTCGTTGGGCGACTATAGTCAAGGAGGTAGGTAGTATCTTGGTAGGAGCTTGTCCACTCTTCTATCGTAATCCAGATCCAGAATTCCTCGTATTTTGCGTCTCTTTTCATTCTTTCTGCGTGCATGCTGCTACGAGTGATCTCTTTCATTTTAGTATCTTAAGAGAAGGCCGATGCAAAAAGCATTTAGGTCCCCCTTAGAGCTGGGTCGAGCGCTCTAAAAAACCGCTCGAATCACGTAATTGTCTTAAAAATGCTCGCGAGCATCGAGCTGTTTTGCAAAGCAGAACCGCACTCCTAAAAGTGCTCGAGCGGTTTATCGCGAGCGCTCGGGAGTGGAAAAAACTGCTCAGGAGCGGAAAAACCCGCTCGCGGGCCGAAAAAAGCGCTCGAGCGCCGAGCACTTTAAGTACGCGCTTTTTCCGCTTGGAGCGCTTTTTCGAGCGAAACGCAGTACCCAGCTCTGGCCCCCTACGCTTTCATGGTAAACGTAAACAAATGAAGACCACGATGATTGACGCTGCCAAGATTTCGAAATTCCGTTTCAAAAGCTATGAGTCAATTACGATTAATTTTCCACTCAAACGAGTGGCGCTTTCCGTTAGTCAATTATTTCCTCTAATTATTGACGACGCGAAACACGTGCTAAAGGCTATTTTTAAGCGAGCCTCTTCCACCGTACACGACAAAACAAATACACAAGATCTATTTATAATCGAAATTGGCGGCGGAGGTTTATTCCAGTACGTTTCGAACGATAGATCGATCGAAAAAAAAGTGCAAAATCACCACGTCCGCGATTTTTTCCCCAAAAAATGTCTTATTCAGCAACCACGAATGTGCCAGTGGGAGGAGTTTGATCAGAGTTTTATTTTTAATTCAATTACGTTTCGCCTCGTGCATGCGCCAGACGTTTTGGCATACGAATTGCAGTCGATTAGCCAAAAAATTCTAAAAATATTCCTCGTCGCCAAAAATTTTTATACGCGCTCTGCAGAGGTGGTACAACAAAGTTCGGTCGCCTTTCTTTTCTTTTGTGACGCGTCGACCTTAAAGGCTATTTTCGTTTGACCATAAACGCACTAAATCGAAAATGGGAAACACAAAGAGTGGGTGCTACGACGAAGTCAGTGTTGATCCGTGGTGGCCGGAAGGCAGTGACCAGACGCCAGTCATGAACGAAATTTCAACGCTTCACCAGAAACGTGTTAAGTTAATCGCGGAGAAAAGGCAAGAGATGAATAATTTGCGGGAAGAAGTTGCAAGGCTCAAAGAAGAAAATGAGCGCTTGATCCAGAACGCTTCCTTTGAAGTGCCAGGGAGTGAGCTGGAGCAACAGCTGAAGGATGCCAGAAGCGAAATTCAGGCGTTCGAAGTGGAACGGAAGGAGTATAGCACACACGTCACAGCCCTTAAGGATATAATCGCAGTGTCCAAACAGCTACTGTTGATGAAGGAAGACCAGCTGAAAGAGGTACGTCTCTGACTCTTCCCCCAGTTGCTTGACCGTCCATTTCAGCTGACCGAACAAGTTGACCAAAACCAAAAGGCGCTCAGCGTCAACGAATCTTCAGAGTGCGCTCGCAAGGAATACGAAAAACAGCTCAAAAGCTTCAGGCAACTGAAGACACTTTACGAGGAGCGACAAGAAGCGCAACGAAAAGAAAACAGTGAGCTCAAAACGCAAATAAATGAGCTCACCGTCGATCTCAACGCGCAGGAGACCACAAACGCGTAAGCGCTTGCGCGTTATTAGACCGTCACCCCACTCCCCTTTGTTTTTCTAGCGAACTCCGTTCGAGACTGGCCGAGCTCGAAGGCGAGGTATCGGATAAGTCGGACCAAATCTTCAATTTGGACTCCCAGCTGGGTTTATCAAAGGCGGACTGCCGAGAGTTACAGTCGCAGTTGGCGGTCATCAATCAGGTAAGGCCGAACTGCATAAGCGAAACGCACCAAGTATGCTCTTGCAGCTCTTCTCGCAAATACTGACAGGTTTCAATAACGGACAAGAGATCGACCTGGATAAACTGATCAGGACGCTCGAGGAGAACCACGACCTGCTCACCGACATCGCGAGCAACGAAGAAAGCGACCAGGCCCTGCCCAAGGTGCTCCTGGACTTGGTCAACCAGGTCAATAACGAAAGCGGCGAGGCCGGAACGAGTCAGAGGGGCGAAACGACGGCGCTGAACAGCGCGACCGAGATCGTGCAGAACCTCCCGAAGGTGTGGCGCGTGCTGATCGAGCTTCTCAGCCATCAGAGCGCCCCGGTCAACGAGCTCAATGAGAGCGATGCGTGCTACAAGTCGGTGCAAACACCCACCGGACCGACCTTGGTGTTAAGTGTGAGCAAGACATTCATCCGACTCAAGGTAAGCCACCTTCACAATCGTTACTTTAGTATTTCGCTTCTATTTATCTTGAAAATTGTATGAGTAGTTACGGTACAGACAGACGGAGATTTCACTTTAACAATTTCAAAAGACAACTTTCTCTGTTCGTCTGTCGCAATGCACGTGTCAAATTTTCAAAATATTTCCCCCTTCTACGATCACTTTTGGCACCTACGCCAACAAAATTTTAAAGGATCAACCTTTTTTAAAGTCCTGTACTGAAAAACCATTCAGAAGTTTTTAAAAACCTAAAAGACCTTTCCAGAGGATCTTAGTCTTTTTTAAGAATGTTTAAAAACCTTTATTTGTGCTTGAGAGCCTTAATGAATCACCCTTCAAAAATTCTCAATAATGCAGTTTTCTGAAAAGTTTCTAATGGTCTCTAAGTGCATTTCGGGACCTTTGGAGAAACCTTTAAAAATCGCCGAAAGTTTCTAAGAGCTTTCGAAGAGTACAAATGCGTTTTAAACTTTTAAGAGCGTTTAATGGCGGTTTGCACCATCGAATTTAAACCAAATCTGAGTTTAAGCATCGTAACAACAATCATTGCCATTAATTTTAAGCTAGCCCCTTTTAAAGATCCTTATTGGATCTTTAAAGGCATTTTAAGAATATTTAGTAACATTTAAGGGTCGAACTTTAAAATTATTATTAATCTTTGAGAGCTCAAAAGCTTCCATGAGCCTTCCAGAAAATGTAATAGAGACGTGGACTATTTACAAATATTTGAAACACGAACCTTGAAGGACCTTTAACACCCTGGAAAGTTAGCCCCCGAAGACTAGCAACAACAGTTCTTTTGATCACAGAACAAAGGAGCATAGGCTCGGGGTCGGTGGCTACGCCGCCTCGCCTCACCCTATGATAGGAACCATGGAAGAACGACAACTAGTTAATTATGGAACTTGGACACCAGACACTCGAAATAGCATCAGCACTTCCCATTAGAGAACTGAGGAACATTTGCTTGATTCGAGCGGATACCCCGTCGAGCCTCGGTCTATGAGAAAAAAACGCATGGACACGAGCAATGTTACAAAACTTAAGAAGTTGGACCCCGAAGACTATGAACAGCATTAGTTCTCTTCATTACAGAATCAAGGAGCATAGGCTCTGCTCGAGGGGCTACGCCGCCTAGCCTCGGTTTATTATTAAAAAAATGGAAACGAAAAATGTTGCAGAACTTAAGAAGTTGACTACCGAAAACTAGGAACAGCATCAGTTCTCTTCATCACAGAAAAAACAAACATAGGCACGGCTTCCGCGGCTACGCCGCCTCGCCTCGCCTCGCCATATGATGCAAACAATGGAAGAACAACGCACTACATGATTTTGGAAATTGGATCTCAAATACTCGAAATAGATGGCGACCAGAATTGTTACACAACTTAAGAAGTTGGACCCCATTCCCCAAAGATAAGGAAGAGCTCGGCTTCGGTCACTACGCCCCCTCACCTCATCCCTATGATAGGAACGATGGAGAAACTATGGAGGAACAATTGAGGAACGTTGGACGAACGACGTACTACCTAATTTTGGAAGTTGGGCCCCAGATACTCGGAATGGCATCAGACACAAAAAAAATATGCCCGGTTCAAAGGGCTGCGCCGTCTAGGCTCGGTCTATGATAAAAAACATCGACACGAAAAATGCTATAAAAGTGGGACCTCGGAAGCTAGGAACATCAGTTCTCTTCATCACAGAACCAAGGAGCATAGGCTCAGTAATGGCGGCTACACCGCCTCGCCTGGCTGTATGAAACAAACCATGGAAGAACGACATACTATATCATTTTGAAAATATGATCTCAAATACTCGGAATAGAATCAGGCCTTCCCATTACACAACCGAGGAACATATGTGAGGCTCGAGGGACCACGCCGCCTAGCCTCGGTTTATGATATACAAAGAACATAGACGAGAAATGTTATAAATCGTAAAAAGTTGGACCCCAAAGACCAGGAAGATAATCAATTCTTTTCATCGGGAGCATAGGCTAGGGTTCAGGGGCTACGCCGCCTCTCCTCACCCTATGATAGAAACCATGGAGGAAGACATGCTACATAATTTTAAAAATTGGATCCCAAATACTCGAAATATCATCAACCCCCCCCCCCCCTCGGCATATTGCAGAACCGAAAATCATATGCTAGGCTCTAGGGGCTAGCCCGCCTAGCCTCGGTCTATGATAAAAAAGAACAGAGACGAGAAATATTACAAGACATAAGAGGTTGGATCCAAAAAAACCGGAAGTGCATCAATTCTTTTCATCAAGAAACAAAGGAGTATAGGCTCGGATTCGGCGGCTACGCCGCGCCGCCTCTCCTCTCCATATGATACACACCATGGAGGAGCGGCATGCAATAATAATAATATAATAATAATAATACACACAATTTCGGAAATTACTAGATACTTGAAACAGCCCATTCCATTACCGGACCCTGGAACATATGCTCGGCTAGAAAGGCTACGACGCCTAGGCTCGGTCTATAAAAAAAAACATGGCGACGAAAAATGTTACAAAACTTAGGAAGTTGACCCCCCAAGACCAGAAACAGCATCATTTCTCTTCATCACAGAAGCAAGGAACATAGGCTTGGTTTCGGCGGCTACGCCGCCTTGCCACGCCCAATGATAGAAGCCATGGAGGAACGACATGCTATATAATTTTGGAAGTTGGACCCCAGATGCTCGGAACAACATCAGCCCTTCCTATTACTGAACCAATGAACATATAGTTGACTCGAGGGACTACGCCACCTAGCCTCGGCCTACAATATGAACCACGGATGCACGAAACAGTAAATAACTTTGGATACTCGGAACAGCATAAGCCTTTCCCATTACAAATCCGAGGCAAATATACTTGGCTAGGGGGGATGCGCCGCCTAGGCTCGGTTCTATGTTAAAAAAACATAGAGACGAGAAACGTTACAAAATTTAAAAAGTTCACTCCCGAAGATTAAGAACAGCATCTCCTCGCCCTAGGATAGGAACCTGGATGGAGAAACGACCCACCCAATTTGTGCCCCATATACCCGAAATAGCATCAGACCTTCCCATTACTGAACCGAGGACTCGAGGAACCACGCCGCCTAGCCTCGGTCTATGGTAAAAGAACATGGAGACGAAAAATGTTACAAAACTTAAGAAGTTGGCCCCCGTAGATTAGAAACGGCATCAGATCTTTTCATCACAGAAACAAGGAGCATAGGATCACTCGCCTCGCCTCGCCATATGATAGAAACCATGGAGGAACGACATAATTTTGAAAATTGGACCTTAGATACTCGGAATAGCATCAGCCCGGTTCGAGGGGCTACGCCGCCTAAGCTTGATCTACCATAATAGAACCTGGAGACGAGAAATGTTCCAGAACTTAAGAGGTTTGACCCCGAAGGCCAGGAACAGCATCAGTTTTTTTCATTACAAAACCAAGGAGTATGGGATCGGCTCCGGCGGCTGCGCCTCCTCGCCTCGCCCTATGATAGTAACAACGGGGGCACGAAACATTACATCATTTTGGAAGTTGGACTCCATAAGCCCTTTCCATTACAGAACCAAGTAATATATGCTCAGATCGGGCTGCTACGACGCCTAGCCTCGGTCTATGATACAAACAACGTGGAGACGAGAAACGTTACAAAATTAAAAAGTTGGTCTCCGAAGACTAGGAACAGCATTAGTTTCATTATAGAATCAGGGAGCATAGGCTCGGCTCCGGCGGCTACGCCGCTTCGCCTCGCCCTACGATGAGAACCTTCATGGAGAAATGCCATACTACGTAATTTTAGAAGTTAGCCACTGATACTCGGAATAACATAAGCCCTTATTATTACAATACCGCGGAAAATAAGGCCTAGCATCGGTCTCTGAGAAAAAAAAACATTGTGACATAATATGTGGCAAAACTTGTGAAGTTGACCCCCAAAGATTTTCATTACTTTTCATTAAGGTCGGCTCCGGAGGATGCGTCGAGTCGCCTCGCTCTATGACAGAAACACGACATCTACCGGGACTTTCGATATCGGGCGCCTAGGAAGAAATTTTTGGGTTTCTTTTTGGCTAAACTTTAAGGATTTTTACGAAACGCTTGTTCAAGGGCCTTGAGAATTCTTAACAAGCATTTACGGGTGTTTAAAGGTCACTAAGGGCTTTTAAAGGTATCTTAGAGCTTCGAAGGGCTTCCAGAGTCTGCTAAATGCGTTAAAGCCTTGGAGAGCTCCTAAACGAAAAATTGTAGACTACTTTGTCTCCTACACATACTTACGTTACACCCTGTATAAATCTTTCAAGGGTCGAATAAAAGCGAGCTTAAAATTTGAATGTAATCAAATGTAAGAGGACCATTTGGGGTGGGTCGGGACTCCTCCGGAATTTTTCTGTGTTACCTAACTAATTAATCGCTTTCAGAACCTAATCGTCGAAAAGAAGGCGCTCGAAAAGGAAACGAACAGACTGAAGCAGCTAAACTCGCACCTGGAAAATCGCCTGCAGGACCAAGAGAAACGGCTCGAGATGGTTTCCAGTGAGGTGGCGAAAACCTGGCACGTTGTAAGTAGACCAGGCGGAATATTCGCAATGATTGTTTCTCCTCGCGCAGGTCGGCAAAATGCAGAAGCAGCACCAGATGCTGCACACCCAGGAGAACATCCTCCGCTACGAGCTGGCGCAGAAACGCAAGCTGCTCAACGAGCTCAAGGAGGAGCTCGAGTACTGCCGCGAGAAGTGGATGCAGGCGCGCGAGAAGAACTCCATCACCGAAAAGCAGTGGAAGCAGCTCCAGTCCGAGTTCGCCTCGCGTAGGAAAAACGACGACTTTAATAACAGCGGCGAGAGCGGGTACAGTGACGAACGCGAATCGTCGGCGAGCGACAGCGAGGAGGATCGCGCTGGAATCCTGGAGGTGGTCCAGGAGGAAATCGCGAACATCGAGAAGCAGTGCAAGGACGACGGCGAGCAGGCGAAACACGACGACATCAGCAACACGTACAAGCGTCTCGAGGAGCACATCCTGGAGACGATCAAGAAAACGCAGAGCGGCGAAGAGTTTCCCGAAGCTGAGACGCCGGAACAGGTCGACGAACCCGCCGCGGCGGCGGCGACGACGTCGAGTCACGAAGAGATCTTGAGCAGGAAAGAGGCGCGACTGAGAAGGTTAGAGGAGGAGACCAAGGAGCTGGTGGGGATCGTTGTGAAGAACGCGTTTCGGGGGGAGGAATTTTGCAGCAAGTTGAACGTGTTGCACGACAAGTACGGAGGGGGAAGTTCGCAGGAAGAAGACAGCAATTAGTGGGGAATATTTGATGTTTTTGTTGTTAAATTTTTATAAAGTTTTGTATTGATCATTTGTATACAAAATATATTTATTGATGTTTGTTATTTTGTCTTTGTAATATGCATGATGTTAAAACAAACCGACCCAAATACAGAAGGAAAGTTAATCGGAGGTTGCTAAGGCGCACGAGGTACAGTGTCCGCACGAGACAACAAAGAAGAATCGGAACTATATTAAGTGCTTCCTCCGTGATATAAATGGTTAATAGATCCATACAGGGCAACAACACACTGACAATATACTTGCATGTGAATACATGAAAAAGTACATAATAAAACAATATAAAGGCACAATTGCCGTGCTTTCAATAAGCCGATATCAGCACGTAGTTAATGGTAAGATGTGTTGCCTAACCGAACTGGTCTGTCAAAAAAAGTTAACAAAAGCGCAAATAAGAGTTTGTTTCCAGGTTTCTTTTATCCTTCTCTTTATAAAAGACTTGTATAGGGACTAGGGAATGCAGTCCCGCAGCAAAATCTCAATCCCGGTATTTGCGGGATCCTTAGATGTTAATCCCGCGGGATCCCGGTATTTACGGGATCCCGCAAAATTTTAAATAAATTGGCAAATAAGCAATTTTGTGCAGTTAACCTCTGTATTAAAATAAATCGCTAATTATCACAATATTCAACAAAAAAGTACCTTCAGCCTAACTTAGAACTCAAAAAAACCTCACCTGTAAAGCACAAAAAGGCGAACTTCTAAAGTGCCTCAAAAATCATAGTACATTTTTAAGTCTGATCGAAAAAGTACGAATTGATTTGGATTCTACGCACCCAAATTAATAAGAAAAAGTGTTTTCCCGAGAAATTTTGGTGTAGTTGATTTTTGGTAAAAAAGGAAGGAATTGAATACACTGCCTTCTTTTGAGCTCCGAAAAAAAAATTGTTTCAGATCGACCCGGAAAAAAAATTTTTTTATAGAATGTGGCCTGTAGAATCCATAATTTCAAACAGTTCCAAGATTGGGCTACTAGTTCAAAAGTTACAGCCCTTTGAATTTTTTTTTCGAAATTGGTTTCTAGTCTATAACTTTTGATTGAGAAGTCTGATCGAAAAAGTACGAATTGTTTTGGATTCTACGCGCCAAAATTAATAAGAAAAAGTGTTTTCCCGAGAAATTTTGGTGTAGTCGATTTTTGGTAAAAAAGGAAGGTTATACACTGCCTTTTTTTGAGGCTCGAAAAAAAATTGTCTCAGATCGACCCGGAAAAAAATTTTCTTATAGAATGTGGCCTGTAGAATCCATAATTTCAAACAGTTCCAAGATTGGGCTACTAGTTCAAAAGTTACAGCCCTTTGAAATTTTTTTCGAAATTGGTTTCTAGTCTATAACTTTTGATTGAGAAGTCTGATCGAAAAAGTACGAATTGATTTGGATTCTACGCACCCAAATTAATAAGAAAAAGTGTTTTCCCGAGAAATTTCGGTGTAGTCGATTTTTGGTAAAAAAGGAAGGTTATACACTGCCTTTTTTTGAGCCCCGAAAAAAAAATTGTCTCAGATCGACCCGGAAAAAAATTTCTTATAGAATGTGGCCTGTAGAATCCATAATTTCAAACAGTTCCAAGATTGGGCTACTAGTTCAAAAGTTACAGCCCTTTGAATTTTTTTTCGAAATTGGTTTCTAGTCTATAACTTTTGATTGAGAAGTCTGATCGAAAAAGTACGAATTGTTTTGGATTCTACGCACCAAAATTAATAAGAAAAAGTGTTTTCCCGAGAAATTTTGGTGCAGTCGATTTTTGGTAAAAAAGGAAGGTTATACACTGCCTTTCTTTGAGCTCCGAAAAAAAAATTGTCTCAGATCGACCCGGAAAAAAAATTTTCTTATAGAATGTGGCCTGTAGAATCCATAATTTCAAACAGTTCCAAGATTGGGCTACTAGTTCAAAAGTTACAGCCCTTTGAATTTTTTTTCGAAATTGGTTTCTAGTCTATAACTTTTGATTGAGAAGTCTGATCGAAAAAGTACGAATTGATTTGGATTCTACGTACCCAAATTAATAAGAAAAAGTGTTTTCCCGAGAAATTTTGGTGTAGTCGATTTTTGGTAAAAAAAAGGAAGGTTATACACTGCCTTTTTTTGAGCTCTGAAAAAAAATTGTCTCAGATCAACCCGGAAAAAAAAATTTCTTATAGAATGTGGCCTGTAGAATCTTAATTTCAAACAGTTCCTAGATTGGGCTACTAGTTCAAAAGTTACAGCCCTTTGAATTTTTTTTCGAAATTGGTTTCTAGTCTGTAACTTTTGATTAAGAAGTCTGATCCAAAAAGTACGAACTGATTTGGATTCTACGCACCCAAATAAATAAGAAAAAGTGTTTTTCCGAGAAATTTTGGTGTAGTCGATTTTTGGTAAAAAAGGAAGGTTTGATCGGGATTCAAGAAACGTAAGGAGGTGTAAAAACACCTACTCGTGTAATAGGTTGTCCTGATTCAATTTTCTCTTTTAAGACTTGTTTAACAGGTTCGCCCAAACCCAAAAAGACGTGTCTTCCTGTTACACGCTTTTTCTGGGAGTTTCTGATATCGGGATCACAGAAGCGTAGAGGAGTGCGAAACTATTACTAAAAGACGGAAACGTACGTTACCGAGTGGAAGGTGAAGTTTGGCAGTAGAAATTCGCGACAGCATTCGTTATTTTATTGCCGAGCGGCACCATCAATTTCGCTCCGGCTCGGTTCAAACCGGTTAGTTTACAGAACCGGGAAACATAAAAGCTGGGTCCCGGAGGCTAAGCTGCCTCGCCTTACCCTGCATACTAAACCATGGAAACACAACATCTTAAGACTTTGGAAATTAATTCCCAGAGATTTTTGTTGCCAAACCGAAAACCTAATCTCGACCCCCCCCCCCTCAGTACCAGCTTACTTTACGGAACCGGGAGACATAAGCTCGGCTCCGGTGGATTCGTCGCCTCGCCTCGCCCTGTATGGTATAAGTACCATGGAAACCTGTTACAAAACTTTGCAAATTGGGGCGGCAGCATCAGCTCTTCTCTTGCCGAACCGAAAACCTAGTATCGGCTCCGGTTCGGCAACAGTATTTGCTGGTTTACAAAGTCGGGGGACATATACTCAGCTCTGACGGTTTCACTGCCACGTTTCGCCCTATGGAAGAGCCATAGAAACGCCACATGTTCAAAACTTTGGAAATTGGGCCCAGTTCCACGGTACCGCGGAACCGGAATCCTAATATCAGTTCCGGCTCGGCAACAGATTGTTAGTTTACAGAACCGGGAGATATAAGCTCGACTCCGGCGGCTTCGTCACCTCACCTCGCCATATGAAAACAGGAGGCACAGCACGATACAAAACTTTGGAAATTGGGCCCCAGAAACTCGGTACAGCATCCGCTTTTTTTTAATTGCGGAACCGGAAACCTAATCTCGGCTTCGGTTCGGTAATAGCTTGTTAGTTTACAGCTTCGCCGCCTCACCTCGTCCTGTGAAGAAGGCGTGGGAACAAAACATGCTACAAAATTTGGAAATTGGGCCCAAGAAACTCGGTACAGTATTCGCTTTTTTTTTATTACGGAGCCGGAAACCCAATTTTACAGAATTTTACAGAACCCGGAGGCATAAGATCGGCCTCGCCGTATGAAGAAAGTCATGGAAACACAGCATGTTACAAACCTTTCGAAATCCGGTACATCATCCCCTCTTATATTGTCAAACCGGAAACCTAATCTCGGCTCCGGCTCGGCAAACGCTTGTTATTTTTCAAAATCGAAAGACATAAGCTCGTCTATGCCTCGCCTCGTCCTATTAAAAAATCATGGAAGCAAAACAAGGCACTCGGAACGGCATCGGATTTCTTTATTGCGGAACCGGAAACCTAATCTCGGCTCCGGCGCGACATCGGCGTGTTTGTTTACAGAACCGAGGGACATAAGTTCGGCTTGCGCTCCCTCGGCGCCTCGCCTCGCCCAATGACGAAAACCGGAAAAACCACATGTTACTTTGGAAATTGAAGTCCAGAGACTCGATACAACATCAGCTTTTTGGTTGCCTAATCGTAAATCTAACCTCGGATCCGGCTTAGCAACAGCATGTTAGTTTACAGAACCGGGATACATACATATTCGGCTTCGGCGACTTTGCCGCCTTTGCTCGGTCTATGAAGGAAACCGACTCGGTACAGCACTTTGTTGCCGAACCGGAAACTTAATCTCGGCTCGGAAACAAATTGTTAGTTTACAGAACCAAGAGACATAAGATGTGGCTTCGCCGCCTCGCGTCGCCCTAAAAAAAGCCATGGAAGGACAAGCTACAAAACAAACTTTGGAAATTTGGCCCCATAGACCCGGTATTCACTTTTTTATTGCGGAACCGGAAACCTTTCTGCTGCGTCCCAGCATCTGCTTGCACCGATAAACAGAACTTCGGCTCTCGTGGCTACGCCGCCTCGCCTCCCTGTTGCCAACTAAACATGTAGACGCGGAGAGAACACACCACCTTTGGATTTTTAACCCCCGATAGGGCTGTGAATTCAATTACGAAAATTATTTGATAAAAAAACTGTGTTAGAGATAAAACTGAGGTAGATTATTCGAAGGTGATTTTTTTTAACAAATTTTAACTTCCGTTTCGCCTTCACTTTATCAACCTCACCGTAATCAAACCCAATCAAATAATTTTAATAATTGGATTGCCCCGGTAACTATGGGGATATTAAAAAGATAATATTACGTTTGGGAAATTCGGTCAGTAGTGCAAATTACAAAAATTTGGGAATATTTGAATAGAAGCTGGAGTTGTTGCGCCTCAATTTTCCAAGTGTGATATCATGGTACATATGATGAAGGGTAAGGCGAGGCGGCGCAGCCGCCGAATCCGAGTGTATGTCCTCTATTTAACAATGCAATGAGACGAGCCTGGACCGGGTCGCTTTTGAATCCCATGTTTGTATGCTACATGGTAAAGGGCGAGGCGAGGCGGCGTAGCCGCCGAAGCCGAGCGTATGTCTCCTATTCATCAATGCAATGAAATGAGGTTGGACCGAGTCGCTTGAGTTCAATTTTCAAAATGTTATGTCATCTCA